GGATCTGGCCGAAAACCGTCAAAATAGACCTGGTCATTTTTTACAGCCATATGGCCATTTACAGCCAAATCGATGCTTGGTTGGCCAAATCCGGCCGGTCGTGTACCCTCTGGCACTAACGGCAATGACCGACACGCGTCTAGGGTGGTTAGGGTTATTTTGTCAAATTTTAAACTTTTTTTGTGGCTAGAGTGTTTTAGCTAAATTATCAACTATAGGGGGTTAAAGTAATTATAATAATATTAAAAAGAAGGGCACTTCAGTAAAATTCTCTCCCATAATTCTTTTATTCATCTTAACCAAACATATAATTATTTATACCTAACAATCTAACCAAACGTATATCACATAAGATTCCCAGTAATTTTTTAGGTATCTATCTCATTAATAATCTTATTATTTTACTAATAAAACATTCTCGAAACTAAATGCAACCTAAGGGCGTGTTTGGTTTGGGTAAATGTCATAAAACTATGATAATATCATCTTATATTACGGGTGTGTAAAAAAACCCACTACCCGAACCAATCATGCTAACCAAACTGAGCCAAATCGAATTTTTTAGGTACCAGAAAATTCGGGTCAGATTCAAATAGTAGTTCATGAGATACCCGAATTCTCGGTTTGGATACCGGGTTATATTAAAAAATTAAGCTGGGTACCCGGTTTAATTAAAAAAAATTAAAAATTACACGTCAAACAAAACTATTAAACTAAAACACGATTCTTTTCTTTCTTATTTCTTCCTTTGACTCATTATAAAAGCCCAAAAATCACTTTGACCTAATCTTTAATTTCTCCGGTTCTCCACTCCACTCCAGTTCGCATTTCTTCTTCAATTCTCACTGGCGTCCGTCGTTCTCGTTCCAGCCGGCATCTGTAGTCGTCAGTCCTCTATCCTCAAACACTCACAACAGCCGGCAGCCACGCGTTGATGTCGTCAGTCCTCTGTCCTTAAGGTATGTCAGTCTTATTCTCTGTTCTATTATCTGTTTATTCTCGGTTGGACGGCTGCTTATTGCTTAGTTGAGTTCGTCTTTAATCTTTATTAAATATTTAAAGCTCAGTTTGATTAAGCTGTTCAAAGGGGTTTTGTGCCTTCTCTGACTCCTATTTGGAACTTATAGATAGTGTGGTAGTAAAAAGCTAGCTACGGTTTTGGTTTATGAATGTTGATTAATTTTTTTCTATTTTTTATTTTTGGGTTCCTTTATCTGTGTTGAATTGCTTACTGCTTACAGGCTGAATTTATTTGGACTCAGTTTGGTTTATTAATTTTTTTGCAATGGGAATATAGTGTTTATCTTTTAATTATTGATGAAGCACTTTTAATTTGGTTTACACCTTACCGTACCCAAGTTGAATTTGTGAGTTTATCAATTTGGTTTCACAAATCTGGTTTGATTTACAGGCTGATGAGCACTTTTACTTTAGTTTATACCTTACCCAGATGAATTTGTGTGAGTTTTTAAGTTACTTTTAGGAAGTACTTTCATTCATAAGCACTTATTAGGCTATTTGACTAGTAAATTGCCTCAGAAAATGTTATTTAGTAACAAATATATAATTAATATGATAATATCATTAATTGTGGCTATTTGTGCATTAAATTTTTGTAATGATTGATTTGATTTGGGTCCAATTCCAATTGTTAATGTGTCGATTTTGAGTTTAAACCAGAATTATCAAACTAACTTTATGGTTATTCTTTAAAATATCTTATCCTTTCAGAACAACTATTTTATAAGAGGTAAGACGTTATCTCAAGTTTTGAGAATCATCAAGGCGTTTATATCATGCCGAAGAATCCCCTTCCACTCCAGACACTTTCTCACTACATCTCTGCAGAGTTCCTTTCCAGTGAAGAAAGCCAGATTAAGCGCTCAATTTATATTCTGTGCCTTTGTTTCCTGTTTATTTTGGCTCTAATCATACGACATCAAGGTGATTGCCAAGTAATAAACACCTTTGAGGGGTTTAATGTCTTCATGGTTTGCAATGTTATCAGTCACCGGAGTATATTGTGTTGCTGATCAGAAACCAGCCCAGCTTGCAGTTCTCCAAGATTTTATTTCATGCTGTCCGTTGTTTCAATGGCATATACTTTATCAATATTGGGATATGCCTTGTTTCTAGAAAGTTTCAGGTGGGTTTATGGAGGACTAAATTGTGGCAAGATGAATATCTCAGCTTTCAAATTTGATGGAAAAGGTAAGCAAAAAGAAATTTATCAGCCAAAGATTTCTCTTATGTTGCTTTTTGAATGTCAAATTTGATAAACATAAAACTCGGCTATTTCCTTGTGTTTTAGAATAGGGTAACTCTAAATTAATATCCAATATGTTATTTATATGGGTTTCGAGTTTGTTTCAAGATTGTTTGTATGTTATTTGCTGATTATGACCAGAGTTCTTGTATTTGTGTGCTTCATTGAAATATAAGATTCATGCATATTTGGGGATTTGGTTTCAATGCCTTTCACCACAGCACAATTGTTTATTGAAGATTTGGCGGTATGAAGGTCCTTATGATTAAAGCTTCATTGTAGTCTTGTTCTTGGATTTGGAAGAACCTCAACAGTTTGAGAAGAGACTATGTTTAAATTCATTTTGAATTATTATTAAGTAAACAAGCCTCAGATTTATTGTCATTTGGTGGAGGTTTAATTGACTGAATTTCCCAATCTTCAGTATCACATTTTGATTCTTTGAAATGACCAATCAAGTTCTAATCAATATTGAGCTAGAAATGTTTTGATTCGCAACCGGTAAAGATTATTTTCTTGAACAGTGCTAGCATGAATTGAAACATAAATTTGCATCTCCTTACTGCACCAGGAACAGAAATACAGTGGTTAACTTTTGTATTGAGAAATTCAGGCCTCTGCATGTCTCCTAATCTTCTTCTTTAGTTTATCTCTTCAAGTTCTTTTCTCTTCTCCTCTGCTTTAACCTTTCGTTTCTTCACCTTTAAAAGCACAACCCCACAATTGAATAGGTAACAGTACAAAATCAATGCTTGAAAATAACAGCTTTCCAGATTTGATGTAAGAATTAGGAAAAAGGAATTATCAGCCACGTTTTTTAAGATTACTCTTATGTTTCTTAAATCGATGTTTGTTATTGCACTTTTCTGTAAAATTATTAATCTTCTGTATTCCATTTTGAATGTTGAATTTGATAAACATATAACTCTGAAATTTGCCTTCCCTTTTAGAATAGAGTAACTCTAAATTAAATCCAAAATATGTTATTTATATGGATTTCGAGTTTCTTTCCAGATTGTTTAAATGTTATTGCTGATTATGATCAGAGTTGTTTTATTTGTGTGTTTCATTGAAATATATAAGATTCATGCATATTTGGGGATTTGGTTTCAATGCCTTTCACCAGAGCACAATGTTTATTTGGAGAATTTGTCTATATGCAGGTCTTTATGATTACAAGCTTCATTGTTTTGTTGGTCTGGTTCTTGGATTCGGAGAAAATCTGCATGGTTTGAAGAGACTGTAATCTCAGATTTCTGGTAATTTGTAGGGGATTTAAAGAATGTTCTTTTTGAGCTTTTGCATTTCCTAATCATCTGTATTAGCTAGCTTTTTTAGTCTAGAATTGATCACGTTTGTGAAGCTAGTTAAATGATTGCCTTTTGAAACACCCAATTCAAATTGACATGTTTTGATTCACCAGTAAAGAAAACTCTTTTGGTATCATTATCGAAACTGAAAGATGAAAGAAATTCTTTATGGGTATTCAACACCTGAGAATTTTCATGAAACACTAATTATAGCAAATAGCAAAGGGTATATGGGAAAAGAAATAGATATCTCAAAACTAATGGAAGAGAGGTCTGTTTTTATTAGAATCAAAGGAAGATCCATCTTTATTCTTCAAAGTTGAAAAGCTTCAATAGCTTTATTAGAAAGGGGTTCTAGATTTCTAGGCTGTGGTTCTGTTTGTTATTGTATTAGATAATTCTTTAAGATTATATTTAATATTAATTATTATTTTGCTTAAGATTATAATTATATATGTATCGAGAAAAATCAATTCAATACAAAATGATTTCAAATAAATAGAACATTTTCCTTGCATAAACATTTTTGTAGCCTCGGAAAATATTTTCCTGTCCTGATTGGACAAAGTACTGATCCTAGTCATAATTTGGTTGCATTTGTTTTACTATTTTTCTACTATCTTATCCTAAAACCTAAAAAATACATTTGTTTTAATATTCTCAAAATCTAATTCTATTTTATTCAATTTAAAACATTAATTAAAAATAACATAATCTAACTTAATTTTACTTTCTCCAAAATACTATTGTAAAAAACATTAGAATGGTGAACTAGACAAACCTTTAAATTTGAATACTATTATTTTCTTAGATATTATAAGATTATTTAATAATCTTAATTTTGTTCTAATTATACCCTTAACAAATAAAATTTTAGGACATTATTACTCTTGTTCTTAAAACAGTTTACTCAAAATACCTCAACCACCTTCTGACAACTGCCGGTCTTGCCGCCACCGTTGGTCGCCGGCCAATCATCTCAAGCTAGTAATCCGCGCGTTTCCTCTCTCGGCCAGTAATATGCGCTTATCCAATGATCTCACTCCCTCTGCGGTTTGGTATTTCAAAATTCAAATTATAGTACAGAATTTGTTTTGTCAAAGTATAGTAAGTTGTAAAATATATAAGAAAAAGGATGTGATGATAAAATTATGTTAAGCAAAATCATAACAAATTTCTAAATAATTAATTAATGATAATTAATATAAAGGTAAAACTTTTAGTTTTGTAAGATGATTCAGATTTTTAATAACAACCAAATAATTTTTAATTTTTTTTTTTTTTTTTTTTTTTTTTTTTATTTCCTTTTTTTTTTTTTTTTTTTTCTTTTTCATTCTTTATTATAAAAAAATAAAATAAAATCATAACTTTTAGCTTATGCAATAGCTACACAATTCGTATAATGTTTCCCTATTTATCTTTTTCAATAAATAATTTATTTTTGGTACTATCCATAAAAAACTGATATATAATTCATAATTATTTTGAAAACAAATTCGGCCCACACTCTTACATATCAATTCATGCTTGTCTTTAGATTTGGAATTGGAGATTCTGTTAAGAAAAATAAAAAAATTATCTGCAATTGATGAAAGAAGCCAGGCGTCTGATCATATCTTTAGCACTCTGGGTCTCAGGATAAAAGACATGAAAAGCATGATCCTCTCCCTCCACTTCAAACAATTCAACTTCTCCTTCAAACCCACTTTCCTTCACTGCATCAACATACCAAATACCTCTATCTCTTAGCGAATCCTTCCCGGCAACACAAACCAGCAACCTTGAACACCCAAGTTTGGCCAAACTCGGCTTCCCTGGACCAACCGGATTCACCATCTCATTATCAATACCTCCAGACGCTGATGGATAAACAAACTCCCAAACCAAACATGAAAAACTCTTCTCATGATTATCACTAGGCTCTGATCCAATCGGCCTTGAGCCCCAAAAATAAGGATGTGAAAGAATAGCTCCTGCAATCTTTACATCGTTAGGCAAACTCTCCACACCCGCCTGCATAGCTATGTTATGCGCTATATTGCCGCCCGCACTGTCACCACCGATAAAGACTCGATCAAAATCGCCATATTTTAGCAACCACGGCTCTTTGTTGGGATCCTCGGCGATCTTATGGGATGTGACCCATTGAAGAGCTGCCCAGCTGTCTTGATATGCGGCAGGAAGAGGGTGTTCTGGGGCTAACCGATATTCTACTGAGACTGCAACGACTTCAGATTGAGAGACTAGAGCGTTGAGGTATCTGTGGTCGAGGAATGAAAAGGAGGATTCAATGCAAAAGCCACCGCCGTGAAAGTAGACCAAAATGGGGCATTTTTTATCGGATTGGGTGAGCTTCGGGAGGTAAAGGCGAGCTGATATGACAGGGTTATGGGAAATGGTTATGTCTTTTGAAGAGACTCCGGTTTCTGGATCTTGGTCAGGTGATGGAGGGACATAAGGTGAGCCTACTAGACGCTCTACGGAGCCATCTTTGTAGACTCTGACCAGTGGAAGGAGCTCCTTGGCAACTTCTTTGACTGTGGAAGCCATTGAAGAAGATACAGGAAGAGATGATGTGTGAAGTAATTAAGAAGGAGATAAACGAGAACGGCGGTGGGAATTGATTAGAGAAGAGCTACGCACGCAGTCATGTAAAATTTTATTAGAATATATTGCAAACTTCGAGACCAAGTCAGATTGGTGACCAAATTGGTTTGATTTGATTCGATATGACGAAGAGATAAGGTCTTCATGCATAATTGATAATAAAAAAATAATATTTCACCGACAATACTCTCTCACGTGATAATTCATAATTCACTTATATGATCTCATTAATAAATTATAAACTGGTTAATTATGAGTTACGGATTATTAAAGAAAATTTATAAAAAATATTTGTTAGTATAGTATTATTCTAATGAAAATATTGAGAGTCAACTGTAAGTAATATGTAAATGAATTGGGGTATTTTTATCAATTTATAAACTTTTATTACTATAAATGTTTAGTTAAATTAACAAAAAGAGTTAAAATTGAGAGAAAGTGCGTATTTCCAAAAAAAAAAAAAGTGTAGTATTACTCTGATAAAAATACTAAGGGTCAGTTTGGTTGTTATTTAGAATAGCATTTTTTTAAATAGTATTTTTGAAAAATATGATATAATTATGAGAAGTTTTTGATATATTTTTATTAGCATTTTCTGAAAATATTTAGATTATTTTAACTCCTTAGCTTTGTTAATTTAATTAAACACCCCTTACAATAAAAATTTATAAATTAACAAAAATACCTCCACCCACCCACATATTACTGGCAACCGGCCATCATCGTTGGAAGGTGGCCAGAATCTTTCGAAAAGGCGCACGACCGGCTGAATCTAGCCGGTCATGCACTGATTTAGCCTTTTTCGACCAGATCTACAACCACAGATATGACCGCTGATGGCCAAATCTGGTCATTGTTAACGACCATATCTTGGCCATTGTTTCCTGTCATTTGACCATCAACGACGGTCAACATATGGTTGGCATCAACAGCCAAATCTTTGGTCATAGATCTGGTTGTTTCTAGCCAGATCCATGGTGGATCTGGCCAGAAATAGACATATCAGTGCACGACTAGATCCAGCCGATCGTGCGTCGTTACGGCGACGGCGATGACTGTTGGTGGGTGATAGTGGCTTGGGTGGGTAGGGGTGTTTTTGTTAATTTTAAAATTTTTATTGAGAAAGGTAATTGTTAAAGTTTTGAGTTGAATATAATAGGATTAAATTTTGAAGAGAATTGAGAATATTAAAACAAATATGTATTTGGATATGATTGGATAGGAAAATAGGACAGGATAGTGGTATTTGAATAAAACAAACGAATAATACTTTGAATTATTTTTATCAGTAAACGACATTTTCCCACCCAAGGTTTGGTCTAAAGATACTAATACTTTGCCACACAAAAAGTTTCAAAATGACACTTTTCACCCAAAGGTCAAATCTGTTAGTAAAATCCATTCTAAAAAAGGGAAGGCTAGTAAAAAATCAATTCTAAAGAAGGACAGGATGGTCAATTTACATGAAGCCGCAAAAATCAAAATTTAAAATTTGAAATCTCTTTAGTATTCAAGGTTGTGATTGTGGCTATCGTGATTGTACACATGGAAAATGGTGAGAAGTCGTTGTGGTAGTGGTGTGTTGTTGAAGGTAGATCAGAGGTGTGGTGGTTGTGGTGGCTACTATAGCAGATCTAAGATGTGGTGGTTGTGAAAGGTAGATATGAGTTGTGGTGAGAAGCTGTTGTGGTAGTGATGACAATGGGTCGGGCTAGGACCGGGTACCCATTAGCCTAAGCCCAAGCCCGGCCTCATGACAAAGGCCCAAGCCCGGCTCAGGCTCGTCACGGGTATGATAAGTAAAGCCCAAACCTGACCTGATGGGCTTTTTGTAACCTCAGGTCCGACCCAAGCCCGCCCATTTTTATAATGTGAATTTTTAAATACTAATGCATTTCAATTTTTTTTATATTTTTAATTCTAGAAACAATTTTTAAATATTAATTTATAGAGATAAATCAAGTGTCGAAGTGAGAAGGATTTTCTAGAGAGGAGACCAAATGTTCAAATAGTGGTGGCAGAGAATTTTAGCTGCCAAAATTGGCTTAGAACAGCAAAATTGAAGCTTTGAGGTCACGAGAAGAAATAGTGGTCGTTGACCAGCGAATAGAACGTGAAATGGATGAGTGTGATAGTGGGTTTTGGAGAGGGCGATGAGAGGATTCTGTCATTCTTAAAGGAAGTGTTGAGGAGTTTCAGTGGTGTCGGAATCCGGCCAAAACGACTAAAATGGACGGTCATATGACAGAAAATATGTCACTACGAACGGAGCGCAAAAGCCAACGACCGCAAAAGGAGAAAAACAAAATTGATGTTTATTGACCACCTTGCTCTTACTTATAATAAATATTTTACCATCATTACTTTCTTCATAACGAAATTTATTAATGGAGTTGAGCTTTAGGTAATAAAGTTGTATTATTTCAAAGCTTGGGTGGGAAAGCGTCGTTAGGTCATTAAATAGTTTTTTTGATTTCATGTCTCCGGATGAACTAGAGTAAATAAAATGAATAAACTCTGTCATCGCATATAATAATATTGTAGTCGCCATCTTTGACCAGATTAGTTTTCTAAAGGATAATATATAAATATTTATTTAGTGTCATGCCTACTTTTCCGGGAAGCTTATAAATGAATTTCCTGGAAATTTAGCTACTGCTAACGTGACTACTGAAAAAGATTAGAAAAAGTCCAAATTGTTTTGTCGATATTTTTATCAACCTAATCATATATATATATATGGAAGTTATGGAAGACATTTTTGAAACTTCAAAGAAGGAAAGAAATAGAAAAGATAGGACATAGGAGTGGAATGTATTATGTAATTGATAATATTGGGTGTGTTTGGTTTAGTATTTTGGATAGGATTTTAGGGATAGTATTGGGTTATTGGATATGGGAGTATTACGAGGGAAAACCTTTTAAAAATTTATAAAAAAGCCCTTGGTTTACTAATTACAATAAAGACCCTAACATGTAAAATGACAAAAACACCCCCACCATCTGCAGTGTCAGATTCCGGCACCACCGCCGGAATCTGGCCGGAAAATTTCGTTACGGCACAGACTTGTCGGATCTGTGCCGTAACACGTCGTTATGGCCTTTTCCGGCTAGATCCATGGTGGATCTGGCCGGAAAAGGCCAGATCTACGTTTGTTTTGGCCGTCGACGGCCGGAAAATGCCAAACGACGGCCATTTTGGCCGTCAGCGACGGCCAAAGATGTGGCCGTCGTTTTCGGTCAACGACGGCCAAGATTTGGCCGTCGTTGACCGTCAACGACGGCCAGATCTGGCCTTTCCGGCCAGATCCGTGGTGGATCTGGCCGGAAAAGGCCATAGCGGTGAACTTCCGGCCATTTCTGGTCGGAAGTTTGGCCGTGTTACAGATTCCGGCTATCACCGACGGTGGTGGCCGGAATCTGACAAGTTGGGTTGATAGGGGGTGTTTTTGTTAATTTAAACTTTTTTTTTAGGGGGTATTTAGTGAAATTAATAACTTTATGGGGGTAAAATGTAATTAAAAAAATAGGGTAATATTTTGAGATATTTGTACCAAACGCTATTTGAAAAATAGGATCCAGAATAGGGATAAAATATTACACCAACCAGCCATTAATACCGTAACAGCGAGAATTTAAGCAACCGTCAAAGGAAGTCTATTACACCCGTAATACATATCAGAAGACTTATGAATACTTCTGCTTATCACAACTCACCAGCAGTAAAATATTATGAATGAAAAGAAAAAAGAAGGTGGTATTTCATGAATCCCAAACCTCTCTTATTTTGTTTTATTTTAGGGATCGACATGATATATTCTAGAACTTGAGGAGAAACGAAGCCAAGCGTTTGATCAATTTCATTGCATTTTGAGTCTCGTATTTCAAGATATGAAAGGCATGGTCCTCACCCTCCACTTCAACAAGCTCCACCTCTCCTTTCCACCCACTTTCCTTCACTGCATTATAGTATAGAACACCTCTATCCCTCAGCACATCGAGTTCAGCAACACTCACCAGCAACCGGGAACACCCGAGTTGAGCTAAGCTTGGCGCTCCTTGGGCAACAATATTTATCATCGGATTATCAATGCCACCAGTTGCAGTTGGATATAAATAGTTCCAAACTGCAAAAGGCGCAAGCTTCTCACGTTCTGGACCTCCAATCTCCGACCCAATTGGCTTCGAACCCCAAAAGTATGGGTGAGTAAGAAAAGCTCCTTCAATCTTTACACCGCCAGGCAGGCTTTCCTCGCCAGCACGGATGAGTATATTATGCGTAATGTTGGCTCCTGCACTATCTCCGCCTATAAAAACTCGTTCAAAATCTCCATAAGTTCCTAGCCACGGCTCTTTGTTGCCGCCATTATCATCAGCCGAGTGTGACGCAACCCATTGCAGCGCAATCCAGCAATCTTCATAAACAACAGGAATAGAAACTTCAGGAGCTAGTCTGTACTCTACTGAAATCGCAACAATTTTCGCTTCAGAAACCAAGCTGTTCATGAATTTAGTTTCCATTAAAGAGAAGGCGGATTCAAAGCAGAAGCCACCGCCATGAGTGTAGACCAAAACTGGGAGTTTTTGGTCAGGTTGGCTTAATTTTGGAAGGTAAACTCTAGCTGAGATATGGGGGTTCTCAGAAACGGTGATGTCTTTGGATGAGACTCCAGTTTCTTGGTCTTCAGGCGATGACGGAACGGCAGGAGAGCCACACAGCCGCTCAACCGAGCCATCTTTGTAAACCCTGAGAAAAGGGAGCAACTCTGAAGCAACCTCCTTCGCCGCAGAACCCATAAGTAAAATTCTAAGGAGATGGAAAATAACGTGTTATGTGAAGGATTGTGAGAAGAGAAATATGTGAGTTATGTCTTCGTCTTCTAAAATTTTTATAGGAAGTTTGGGCTCCACAAATGTCAACTGATTTTTGGGTTGACGTAGAATAA